CCATGTGTGGCAGCTGCCATGCGTGACCAGTCCCATCATCACACCTCCACTATGCTAATGTTCACCGGCGAAGGATGCATGCAAAGGATGGAGGCAGGTCAAACGTGCCGAGTTCAGTAATGTGATAACTAATTCAGTGTGGCCTATTTTAAGGGACGTTTTGTTACTTTATCTCCCAACCCGCATCCCCTCTCCCTGTGGGTGGGTTTAAAGCTAGTAGGAATTTGTGCCTGGCTAGAGCAAGGCTTCCTGTCCAGAATAATAATTCCATCTTGGCATTTAACAGTCACATTAGCAAAAGAAACCCTTTGCCAATCACTGATTCATCTCTCTCAAAGGAAGAGGTGTATAAGACTGATGACTGAAACTCAAATTAAGGCTAAAGCTAGCCAAATTAGATTAACTCTGGGATCCGTTTAATTCTGACCTGCAACATGCATGTATACGTTGTAGGCGTCTGAATGCATTTAACCCAGCAGAGTACAACCACTCTGACCTCCGTGGGGACAGCAGGAAATAATGAAAATAGCTGAGTGCAGAGAAAATGGAAGCAGCTGTCATAAAACCTCCCCAGGGAAACAGCATCCTATAATTCACGGTTAGTACTTGCTTTTATATGAGCTTCCCTTATTTCATAAGGCTCCCAATCGTATTCTCTAGACATGTGCTCCCGAACGCTGCAGCAACAGCCCTACAAGCTGGATCGATTAGGACCATTAATGGTTATTTTTTCACTTGTACAGTACTTTCCCACCTACAACCTGCTTTAAAAGCTTAAACAATGCATCTCACGCACATCTCTGTGAAGAAAGGGCGATAATATTTACCTACTTTAGCAATTAGGTAAACTGAGTAAGAAGACCTGACTGATGTTGGAAAGCAAATTCTTGACAGATGCATGAGAACTCGTGTTCGACTCCAAGGCCAAAAGGCTGAAATAAAAGCAGATGAATCTGAACAGAGTTCAAGGAAGAGAAAGTGAAGGAAGGGGGAAAAAATTACACAGCTCTGACAGGTCTCATCACGTTGCCAGTTACTCTGTTATAAAATGAGGGTGGGATCAGGTTTTGCTTCAAGAGGAGCTGAAGTTTTAATACACTAATAAACTTTTAATACTAACTTTCCAGTTAGTAAAATTTTAAATGCAATGCTGGAACATTATTATGGGCAATATCTGCTGCAGAGGCTTTGCATGGAGCTACGCTGTCAGCAGCCTGTTGGGAAAGAAAGCAAGAGCAAGAGCGTGTTCAATGCCAATCCATTCCAGCTTCCTTTTCCTTCGGCATCACAAGAGATTCACGGAGCCTGCTCATCTTAGGTCTTTGCTTGGCAATCATGTCCTTTGCAGACAGTCTCTGTTCTTTGCCAATGCTTTGGATGAAATGCCGCTCGGCGAAGGCTCTACCCACCCACGAAGCATTCAAGGAAATCTGGCAAGGCTGAAGTTTATCGTCATGATGCATCTTTTCACTTCCGTTACGCCTGTCCCTGACTTTACTGATGAATCACTCATGCTCCAGTGTGTAGCTACCCCAAGAGCAGCTGTCTGAGGATGTGCTGTTCTGCAATACTGGGACCTGATCCAAAGCCTAGAGAAGTTAATGGAAACATACCCATTGACTCAACCGGCTTTACTTCAAGTCCTTAAAGAACAGTGGCAAAGGAAATGTGAAAAAGGCAGTCTTTATGCATTTGTTTCCCCCAGGCAGATGGCAAGGGCCACATGCTGCTCCAAATAAGAGGGTCCTTTTCTTTCTCACTGACTAGGCTAATGATCCAATAGCTTATGCATGGCAGGAAGGAGGCAGGGAGGGGTGAAGAGGGAAGGAGAGAGGCTGTTGCAACGCTACCTTCATGGCAGGAGGATCGCAGGGGTCAGGGGAACTCGAAACCCAGAATGCCATTCCAGGATACAGGTGAATCCAACATTGAAATATGCACTGTCGAGAGCTAGGTTCATTTATTTATTATGTATCGCTTTTTGATTAAAACAGAAATTTGAGAGGAAAAAAAATTCCATTTATTGAAAACTGAAGAAAAAAGAAATGTTCTTCACCAAAACACCCCCAACTCCCCAAGTTCAGTGAAAACAATCAAGTTTGGCTAAAATATAATCCAAGTTTCAGTCAGTTCTAATATGCAACAGCCGCTATTATGCCAGACCACAGAAGGCAAAGGTCACTCATTTCTGGATGCAGGGACCAGGTCAGACAGCGACACGCTTCCACTTACAGCAGGGTTTGGTTTCCCTCTATAGCAAAGCCGAAGTGAAAACATTATAGCTGTTAAAAGCTGGTGTTGCTTTAATGCTGCTAAATATGTATTTATGTATGTATATTTAGGTCTGATTCTGCACTCATTCGTGTGCATAAAAGTGCACAAAGCATAAAAGTGCATAAGTTCATAAAAGTGATCAACAACTAAACACACAAGGTATTTGCAGGATTGAGGCCTTAAAGTAGGTTTAATGCGCTTCAGGGACTGATTTCTTCACTAAATTTTAAGCCTTTAAAATGCTCCCAGGAATGCAGCTGAGTTCTCAATAAATGAATTTATGTCTAACAGGGGAAAAAGAACTGAAGTCTTTGAAGATTAAAACGATACGCTATACACACAACCGCCCCTTCTGAAGACCCCGTGCTGACGTTTTCACATTCCTTCCTTTCTGTAATTAAAAAGAAAAAAGCACGCACACATACCAATGTTCAACTTCATACCTACGCAATGCCAGGGCTTCTTGGGCACCGCGACAACAAACAAGGCAGGGTTGGAGCGGGTTTGTTCGTGAGGAGTGGGTGCCTGCACGGAGAGTGGCTGCATGCAAGAGCTGGGGAGTCTGCGTGGGTGTTTTGATGAGTTTTGGTGGATGGCGGAGCTGCATGCTAATGTTTTAAAGAGCATTTTTCTTGTTTTTTTTTTAAGTTGGGAGAATGGTTTCCTTAACTTTCGATTACCTGGGATTTGCATGCAGTGACTGCTCTTACTGGGGTACGCACGTCACATGTTGCTTACTTGGTCAAGTACACGTGCGAATGCTGTCTACTATACACAACCTCAACAAAAGGCCAACTTTTTGAATGTGGACAGTAAACTCTTCTGAAGAGGTTCTAGTCTCTGTCTACTTTAACCAATAATGTACATTTTTTAATGAGTTTTTTTCTGGTTTGACCTCCCCCCCCAAAAAAAATCATAAGAGGAAGTGTGTACGCCTCAAATGCAACCGGTCCTTCAGAGACTGGCGTTTCACCAGTATGTGAAAAGGGTATCGAACCAGTCACAGAAACTCCCTCCTCTGATGTAAGTGGTAACATGCTTCTTCGGTGATGAGAGGATAATGTCTCCTGGAGCGAGCATTTCATCCTGAGTCCAGTCTTCGTTCAGATACACGTGCACTGTTGTAACAGCGCGCGCTACTTAGGCAGGGCCTCTTCCAGAGTACACAATTAACTACAATGCTATTTAAATCGCAATGGATGCTTCATAATCAGCACAGTAATTCTGCTCAATTTAGATGATGACTCCAAATGGCATGTGTGGTTATTGCAGCCTGTGTTAATATTTTAGGCCCTGTCGTGTACTGGGACAAGATGCCAATTACTTGGGACGGGGAGGTTCGTCAAGTCTTCAGAACAACGACTGACGGGGATTTCTATCAACGGGAGAGCAGGAGGGCGAGGAAGGCAGCTCAGAAGGGCATCACAATGAGGAAAACTCAACCCTGCTCAAAAGGAAGAAGCACAGATGGAGCCAGAAACCAGGCGGCATGTAAACAGGGCTATAAAACGAAGGGCACGTGCCCTAGCAGCTTTCTACATGACAAACAGGTTCTTCTGCTAATGCAAGAATTACTTAAAACTAAGAGCTGGAAATGACCTTGAGAGCCATCAAGTGCCTTCCCCCCAGTGCTCCCAGGCAGAATCAACTCTACCTAAACCAACCCTGACAGATGCTTATGCAACCTGTCCTTAAAAACCTCCGGTGACAAATTGCCCAGCTTCCCTGGGTAATTTATTCCAATGCTTAGCTATCCCTACAGTTAGTGCCTAACCTAAATCTCCCTTGCTAAAATTGAAGCCCATAACTTCTTGTCCTACATGCAGGGAAAACAGTTCATAACCTTCCTCTTTGCAGCAACCCTTTACATAGCTGAAGACCATTATGTCTCCCCTCAATCTTTCCTCACAGATGGTCATTTTTCCTAGTTCTCAGAGTATTTTTTTTTTGCTCTCCTCTAGGCTCTTGCTAATTGGACTACCTGTTCCTTGAAGGGTAGCATCCCAAACTGAACACTACTCCAGGCTGAGACCAGTACCGACTGGAGGGGAACAATTACTTCAGATGCCTTGCAT